TATATGTGCTCTGCATGTTGCAGTGATCAGAGTACATGCCTAGGGTAGGCTTCAGGTAGCCACATGGTTTAAACATCCTATATGCAGGTAATGTTTTTACCCCTAATCCCATTGTTGACCTGCCAGATCTGTCTTCAGTCCTCTAGTGCCATTCTGGAACCCCAAAACCAAAACTGATCTTTAACTGCAAAATAAACAGAGATCTCCTGGGGAAAGGCCCTCCCTTCCCTTTCACTTCTTCTCTCTGAGATGCTAGAGACTTTGGGGGAACCTAACCTGTACTTTTCACAGTTCTCATTTCTTACCCCCGAAATGGGCCTAGTGTGTGGTGGTATGTGGGTGTCTTTGGGACTGAGTGAAACGAGGTTGTGGATTCCATAGGCCCTAGTGGGTGTGGTAATATTCCAGGTCATTGGGGAGAAAAGTAAAAATAACCCAGGTTTAAGAAAGAATGCCTATATTGGCTGAGATTTTATGGGAAGTCTGGATTCCAGTGCTATTAGTAACAAGGTAGTAGTGGGGAGAGAAATGAAGGAGGAAAGAAATGAAGAAAGAGTATAGTGAAAAAGGGAGACAAAAAAGAGAGGGAGAAAGGGAAGGAGGTATGAATATTGGAGCAATATTCATCCCACTGTCATACTGGCAAATCTGGCAGCGCAGAATGAAAGCAGAAATAGTTTAGATAATGTCTGAGTTTGGCTCATTTTTTTCTTTTCCTTTTCTCTTTTCCCTTTCACCTTTCCCCTCACCCCCTCCCTCTTTCCCCTTCCAACCATATCCTGCTTACAACTGGATGGCAGGGAACTGGTTGCCATGGCTACTAACTGGAATTCATGCCAGCTGAATGATTAAATGAGGGTCTTTTCTTCAAAGCCACAACCCTGGTTCAGGAGTCACTTTTTGCTGTTGAAGTTTGGGAGCCTTGTCTGGACCAGAGTCAACAGAACACTTCCTGGTTGGCCTGGCTCTATACAATGAGGGGAGGGAGTGTGTGCCAGGGTCTGGGGTGGAGGATATAGGGACTAGCATTGATCTAAATGTCCTTCTTTCAACAGCTAGGTGTAAAAAAGGATAAGGAGCAGAGAAGTGGCACAGATTTGATGCTTGTGGTAGGTTGGGGCAGGTGGGCTTTCTGTGATGGAATGAACTCATGGCATCCTGAATTGCTTTCCTCCAAATTCTTGCCTGAAGAAAAAGGAACTGGACAAGAGCCATAGCTTATAAGAGAGGGATAAGGACAAAACCCAATATTTTTGTTATTATGTTTGGAAAAACTCCATGTTTTTCTAATTAGTTGGTATTTGCAGTAAATGTGGCAGGAAATCAAATGGCAGGTATGTCTAAAGGCAGACCTTGGGTGTGAATGTAGGCAGTGGTCCCTCATCCTGCTCAGCCAGCCTCCCCTCCTGTCCTCCCATTCACCAAAGGACCAAGCGGTTGGCTCAGATGGTCCTGCCTTGAAAGTATGAATGGGCAGGGAAGGAGAGAGTATTGTTTGTGGGCACAAATGCTGTTTGCTTCAACATGAAGGGGAGAGAATGGATGTTCTTTTGGGCGATTCCAAGCCAGGAAAAAAAGCCCCCGCCTTCTGGTGTTCCAGATTTTTAAACTCTTTTTCTTCTCAAACAATAACAATAACAATAACAATAATTAACAATGATGATGATGATGATGGCTAGCATTTCTATATCACTCTGCATCTCATTTGATCCTCAGAATAGTCCTGTGACATAAGTGCTATTATTATCACCATTTTTCAGATGGAGAAGCCAAGACTGAGAGAGGTTAAAAGACATATCCAGTGTCACATAGCGCGAGTGTCTGAGGCAGGATTTGAACTCAGGTCTTCTTCATTCCAAATCTAGCACTCTATCTACAGTACCATTTAGGTGCTGCAAAGAATGAGGACATTGGGTCAAAGGGCTCCTGCTGGTGAACTCCATTTTAGATGATTTGGGGAACCTAGGTATTTGTGAACTTGGCAAGGAATGGGTCAAGGAGCTTTCACCTGAGCTTCCTCCATATTCTTTTCCCTTCGTGTCTGACCATGCTGTATGATGTTGTGTTGGGACAGAAGCGATTGTCTCTGGGCGTGGAGGGAGCAGGTATACGTGTAAGTGTCCAAGAGGGACCGTCATAATCCTCATGTCAGTCTTGGGACATTGTCCTCATTAAGAAGAAGGAAGATGGAGTGGACTTTTACGAGGCATATGCCACCTTCACAGAGAACAATTTAGTGAAAAGATCACAGCCAGAAGCTCTGACCCTGTTCTGGCCCTGTCACTACAGCTAAGTGACCTTGAACAATCATTCAGCTCTCCACAGAATGATATGTTTTTGCTAACTCGGTAGTCCTAACATTTTGTGATTCTATGAAAATGCAATTTTCCTGATGGAAACTCAGATTTTGGTGGGTTTGGGGGTGGTTCTGTCACTGGGTCTGTGACAACTTTCCTCCTCTGCTATGCCGTGGTCCTGAGGTGATCCCTATATAAGTGGGAAAGGTAGAAATACAATTTCCTTTCTCTGAAGCAAGGATTCTAGCCCATCGCTTAACTGCTGCTCTCTGATTCTTTGGGATCTATACATAGACCACACAATCAAAGGCTCATAGATTTTTAGTTTGAAGAGACAATAAACTCCAGCAAACCTCCTCCCGCCCCATTACCTCCAGGATCACATATAAAAATGCCTGTTTGGTAGCCAAAGCTCTTCTAAACCTGGCCCCTTCCTATCTCTGTAGTCTTCATATACTTTATTCCCTTCCACTCACTCTGTGTATGATTCAGTGACTGGCCCCCTTGCTGTTCCTTACATGAGACACTCCATCTCATGATTCTGTGCATTTTCATTGGCTGTTGCCCACGTCTGGAATTTGAGCCCTCCTTGTCTCTTGGCTTTCCTGGCTTCCCTCAGCTCTCAACTAAAATGCTACCTTCTCTGCAAGAAGCCTCCCAGTCCCCCTCATTACTAATGCCTTACCTCTGTGGTTACCACCAATTTATTCCACATCTATCTTGTTTGCGCATAGCTGTTGGCAAATGTGCCAGTCCCCATTAGGTTGTGAGCTCCTTGAGGGCAGACACTGTTTTTGCCTTTCTTTCCTCAGTGCTGAGTACATAGTAGGCACTTAATGAATGCTTGGTGATTTGTTGCTGTTGACTTTAGAGGTCCTTTAGTCTGACCCCCTCATTTTACAGATGAAACTGAGGTCCAGAGAGGTTGTGACTTTGCCCTAGGGGGCACAGGTAATGTCAGAGGAAGGTTTCAAACCCAAGTCCTCTGACTCTGAATCCGTTGCTTTTTTTCCCATGTGACACTGTCTCTTCATGCTTTTCTCTTTTGAGTAGTCAAAGATAAGTTTCACTAATTACTGCACTGGCACACAGGGAAATTAATGAATTCTTTTTGATTGATTGTGCTTTTGATCTTATCCCTACCTTCCTCCTGGGTTTGAATGTCTCCCATGATGTGTGCTGGCCTTCCTGGACTTGTAATAAAGAGGACCAGGCCTACAAGAAGTCTTCTAAGAACTTGGCAACCTTAAAAAATCTTGCCCCTTCTCCAAACACTGGAGTGAAGCAACTACTTCAAGAAATGCAATCTTGCCCTACTTCTCAGAGGCTATCATTTCACAAACGGCTGGTGTTCTGGCTTAGCAAAGGAAAGGAGGATGCTGCTTTCATTTCCATGCCCAGGGATAGGGGTGGGTTTAGGTATGCTTAAGAAGAAAGGTTTAGACAGAGAGTTAGTTGAGGGATGCTTATGAAAAGGGTCTGACATGAGGAGGGAAGGAAGTGAAAATCACTGAAGAGCAGCTGGTAGATCCATCTGTAGGGAATTATTGCAGGGTCAAAGAAACTACTGAATTTCCTAGAGTCCCTCAGGCTTGAGAGAGAATCTTTTGTGGTAGGGGGCAAATAACTCTGTGGTTAGCCCAGAGGAATTTTGGTCTGGGGCTTTGGGGAATATGGAATGCTCCAATTTGCTTCCTTTACTTTCTCTCCTTAGCTTCTCCAAGAGAAAGGGCAAGGACAGTGTGTGAACGGTGGTAGTCTTTGGCCACTCCACTTAGGGGAGTGTTGGAAAGAAAGGGACCTATGCAGAATAGTTGTGAGGCATTTTCAGAGCCCTGAGTGCCCCACTTGCACAATGGATTCCTTACACAGTGCTTGCTTCCTTTTCCTTAAGACGTGCTCACCCAGGGATGCTCATATCTACAGGTTTTTCATTAAATCCTGGTTTTCTCTTCTCCTTCAGATTCATGCCCCTTATTTCTTGACTTGTGCCCCATTAACAAGAAAGAGTGAGGTTGGAGATGAGCATTCTGGTAAGGGTATGTGTGAGTGGCTAGGTGCCTGAAATCAGGGTGAGTAATTTGGACAGAATCGCCAGATGAAGTTTTAGGTTGTTGAACTTTTTGCAGAAACCCTGACCTAAATTTCCAGACACTCCACTGTTTACTACACTAATTATACCCAATAGATCAAGCCTCTCAGCTGCCCTCCTCCTGCTCCGTCACCCCCTCCCCAAACACACACATGTGTGTGCCTGCGCGCACATCGCACATGAGTAGGCTCTCTCTCCACCCTCACTGGCTCGTTCCCTTTCTTCCCTTGCTGCCTCTCCCTTGTTTTATTTTATATGCCTGGACAGTTGTTTTTCCGTTTGGATTTAGCTCCTCTTTTCCTTTGTTATTCCCCTGTCTGCCCCCTCTGGTGTGTGTGAGTTCTTCTGATTGTCAGAAATTTCTTTTCCACTGTGTGGGTAGGAGACAGATTTTTAACTGTCTCCTCTCTCTCTATTTATTTTACTTTCTCTGTTTCGCTCCCTTTCCTCCTCCTCCTCCTCCACCTCCTTTTCCACTTCTTCCTTTCTCTGGTTCCCCTTGCTTCCCCCTTCAATATCTGCCTCCCCTTCCCTCCTCCCCCCACTTACTTCCTCTCCCTCCCTGCTCCCCCTCCTCCATATTGCTCGCTTTCTCTCTCTCTTTTTAAATAATTCAAATAATGTCCATGGAATAATAGCATACCCTCATTCACTTGAGTGCGGGACCCTGCATTAATTCAAGGTAAGCCACTGTTTTACTTGCTCTGGTGAAGATGGTGGTGTGGTATTGCTCAGAGTAGATCTTTTCCCCTACCTTTGACCCACTGTAGGGCTCCGCTTTTTTTGCCTGTCTAGGATTAGAATCCTTTCCGGAGAAGACTTAGACTCTGGAGTGCTGCTACCTGTTGGGGATGGATAGATCTTTGAGATCTGAAACCTTTTCATAGTTTCCCCAAACCCTCCCTTATACCAGCCCTGCCTTTCCGAGGATCCCTTTCTTTACGAGTATGTTTATTTCCTTCGCAACTTCCGTAGCAATTTCATCTATATGGAAATTTTCCTAAGGCTGTTTGGCATTTTGAAGAGGAAGCTCGTGTGTATGTGTGAATGTGAGTGTGTGTGTGTGTGTGTGTGTGTGTGTGTGTGTGTGTGTGTGTGTGTGTGTGTGTACACCAGTACCTTGCCAGGGTGCTCAGTGATCTTGCTAATGTTTCTGCTTTTCCATAAACCATACTGAGAGGGAGACTGCACTAGGGAGCTGGGGTTGAAACAGGTGCCGTACAGCATGTGCCTTTCTCAATTCTCTCCATATCGCTGCCTTCCTTTTTCTTTTAAATTGTCTCTCTTCCCTTCTCAGCTCTCCTTAAGACAGAAGAAGACTGTTTGGAAGTTTATGGGGAACTTAATTTTAGGGAAAGTCCAGAGGCACCTGAGGAGTTCACCGTCCCCCAAATACTCCCTTTAAGAGGCTGTGCTTTTGACTAGGTTCCTAAGGAGTCAGCCATCTGTGATTTCTGGGCTCATCTATTTTTAAGGTGAATTTTTTGTTTCTGGAGTGGACTGAGATAGAAGATGCTGAGCCTTTTGGCATGAGGGACAGGGTGTCCTTTAATAGGATAGCAAGCTGAAGGAGGCTGGGAATGGGAGAAGAGGCTAAGAGGAGTAGGTTGAAATGGTATCGAGCCTACCAGGTTTATTAGTGGATCTGACTTTATTATCTAAGGGGCTTCAGTGTTGGCTAGGTGAGGGTGGCAGCTCTTCCATTCACATCAATAGAACACCAAATTCCCTTTCTTCTCTACCACTGGAATCTCCTGCTTTGATATCTGTGCCTTGGAGATGATGGGAAAGTCTATCAATGAACCCTTTGGGGATGAAGCTTCTAGTGGGTCCTTGTGTTTCACTTTGGCCAAATGCCATGTAAGGAAATCCTTCTTGTTTGTTTAATCCATAACTCTGTCCATATAAGGCAGGTAGGTTTTGGTTGAATGGATGAAAGTGATCTGGGAGAACTAAAGAGTGCAATATGGGCTTGATTCCCAGAATTCCCTCTTTAGACTTTATTCTGTGTTGGTATATTGACCTTTGCTCTTCTGGTCCAAGAGGAAAGACTGAAGGAGTCAGGATGGTTTAAAATAGAGGAGATAATGATGTGTGTGTGTGTGGGGTGTGTGTGTGTGTGTGTGTGTGACCTAAGAGCTGTCTTTTCTCAAAGGGAATGCAATTTCTTATACTTAAAGAGAAAACAACTCTTCTTTACTTCCACTGAGATTAGAATAAGAGGAAAATGGGTTTAAATGACATTTTAAGGGAGTTAGGTTACACACAAGGGAAAACTTATTGACTAAGTGTTAGGAAGCACAGAGAATTAGTGATGGAAAACGTGGAAATCAGTCCCCCTATTTCCCTTCCCCCTTTCCACTCCCCATGTGCCACCTCTGGAAGCCTATAGGGAAAGGTTAGACAGATGTTGGCTGATAAGAGTTGTGTTAAAATCATCTGGAGAGACTGAGAGGAAAGGATGCCCTTTGCTATCTTCTTGAATCTGCTCTATTGTCCTCTGGTTTGTGGTCCCATGGTTCCTTTGGTCAGACTGTTTTTTTTTTCTACTTTATAGCAGATGTATGATCTAGGAGCTGATAATACATCCAGAGATCTAGACAATTTATTGAACAAATAATATCACTCGAATTTGATTTTATGACTCTGAAGTCTGATTTGTGTAACTGAGATGGGAAGAAGCTATTCTTGAATATTAAGTTTGGGGTATGTATCAGTAAGACAAACTTAGCAAAAACTCTCTTGGGCTCCTGACACTTGGTCTTAGCTACTAGCTTCCTAACCCATTCTGTTCTTTGTAATAACAGGATAGCTACTGGCCCTGTGATTTCACTGATAAGAGAAACTCCCAGAGGAAACTCCCTTTACCAAAGCAGGTTGACATTATCCTGGAACTTATAGTCCTAAAGGGTCACATAATCATTGTGGAGCAGAAGCAGGATCTGAACCCAGTTCTTCCTGGCTCAGAGATGAGCTCTCTATCCATTATGCCATATTGCCTTTCCCCTTACTCTGATAGTTATACATTCATATAATCCTACCCTGTATGCCCACTCTTTCTCTTAATTTCTCTTCTGTTTCTAAGTTTTCCACTTCTTCCAGGACTGTTCTCTGTGGGCAAAGGGTATATTTCTTGTGTCTGGTCTACTCATTACTTGGATGATTCATTCATTCAAGAGTATCTTCCCTTTCTGACTTAGATCTCTCCAGCTCGGATCTTGAATGCATATTTTATTCCCAGGCCCCTGTGAAAATAGGTTCCAACTAAAAGTCTTTTTTACCTTTTAATTGTATATGAGCATCTTCTACTTATCCTCCAAAATCCCCTTCTCTTTTCAAAAATCTAAATTCCAAACTTCAGAACTCAGGGTGCTTCTCTGTAGGGGAAAAATGGAAGAAGATTGACATGGAATTATTCCCAAATCTATTCATGCTTTCTTTTGGAATTTATGGGTGCTCCCAAGCAACTCTCTTCTGGGAAAAAAAGCCCTGGATGGCATATTGATGGTAGCATGATACAAGATGAGTCTTCTTTGTCACAATGTTGAGGGATTGGGCTGGTTTCCGGACTCCTAAGCCACATACCTCACCATCATTCTCTGCAAGGAGGAAAGAGAAGGAAGAAGAGGAGGGTGAGTGAAAAGAAAGAAGTAAAGAATGGAGAAAAAAGAGAGACTGAGACAATGTAAATTCAATTTACTTCTAGATTTAAGGCAGATTAATTAAGGCTAAAATATGCATCTCATTCCAGGGAAATTTGCTGACTTTCCCATCCATATGTATGCTTAGAGGTGGGCTTCTTAGTAGAATAGGGTGAGTCACAGGACCATTCATTGGTGGGTGAGCCAAATGGCAGTCAAGTACCTCTGGGGCTTTGCCCTTTGACATGGGATACAGGATTAGTGCTTAGATGGCAAATTGAGACCAAACATACCCCAAACAAGCTGCTAGAGTAGTCAGTAACTGGGGAGGGTGGACCTGATTCTTGATCCAAATACAAATGAACTTTCTGCTCTATCATTGGTTCCTGGTCCGTGGGTCATCTGTGGGACATTGTTCTAGTCTTTCAGTTCCTTCTCTGTAAAATGGGGAGACTGGATTTTTGAGTCCTATAAGTCTGTCTGGTCCTACTCCTACCCTGAATCCCGAAATCTTATTCAGGATGACAAAATGGTGAATCTGGGCTTTACTGAACCATAATCTCTTACCTGATAAAAGATTCTATCTTGCCTCTTGGTTTGCTCAGACTAGAGTCTGGAACATAGTCTAGAGTCATAGACTAAAGTCTAGATTGAGAGAAACCAGATACTCCAGGATTGTATGCTGACACCACTGGGTTTTCCATAGTCTGGTGCAAGACCCAGGCCACAGCATAGAAGAGGGTGAGATTGGTGATCCTGGAGTCTTTAAACCCAGCTTTGAGTCAGGGGAATCGTCTTAATTTGAGTAATGATGTGCATGATACCAAGGATTGGAAAGTCTCTTTGTGTCTCTGGGCAAGTCACTTAGCTTTCATGGACTTCAGTTTCCTCCTTATAAAATGAGGGACTTGCATTGATGGTCCTTCCAGTTCTAGATCTATAGACATAAGATCCCAAGACTATAATTTTCTTTTCAAGTGAATCCATTCCCTCTATCCTCCCCTTCCCTCTTAGCAGCAAATAGACTCTTAAATCACAAACATCTCATCTCAGTAATGATTGTAAGACAGGAAGTGAGTGAACATGTTCACCTGGGTGTGTCTGAAGTGAAAGAGAAGTGGTACCTGGAGAGATAACTAACATCTATTGAATGCCTTTCATGCACCAGTCATTGTGCTTTACAATTGTGGCACTTCACAAATCTCATTTGATCCCCACACAATTATCCCCATTTTACAGTTGTGAAAAACTGAGGCAAACAGCAGTTAAATGACTTGTCCAGGGTCACATGGCTATTAAGTGTCTGAGGCCAGAGTTGAACTCAGGTCCTCCTGACTTTAGGACCAGTGCTCCATCCACTGCGCCATAGCTGCCTCTGGATAGAGGGATTGAAACCAAACCATCCCATTTGTGGGACAGCGTTCTGAGGTGGCTGCAGAAGTAACCCTAAACCCTGAATTGGGAGTCAGAAGATTTGGTTTCTAGTCCTGGCTGTACTATTAAATTGTCAGAGAATTATGGAGAGGCCATTTCAACGTTCTTTATCATCTTCTTTATCTGTTAAATGAGGGCCTGGACCAGATGGTCTCTAAGATCCTTTTCATCCCTAAAAGTCTATAGGGAAAGTGTGGATATCAGAAGGAAAAAAAAAGCTTTCATTAATAATAAGAGCTTACATTTATGTAGTGTGTTATAGTTTACAAAGTGCATTCACATATATTGTGTCGTTTGATTTTCACAGTAATGTGGTACTTGATTACCCCTATTTTGTAGATGAGGAAAACTGAGGTTCAGAAATTAACCTATCTGCTAAGTAGCATAACTGAGGCCAGACCCAGGTTTTCTTGCTCCAAGTTCAGTGTCCTTTCCATCATATCACACTGCCTTTCCTATACCACTTTCCCCAAAGGCTCACTCTTGTCCCCCAGGTAGTAAAGGTTATAGGACCCAAGATCTGGAATGGGAAGGGATTTCAGAGGCCATCTCATCCAACTTCCTCATTTTAGAGATGAGGAAACTGAGGTCCTGAGAGATTGGAGAC